TTTAACTGCAGTTAAAACTGAGTTTGGAGTAACACTTTGTCCTGAGAAAATTGTTGTATTATACAAAACAACATAGGGACTCTCTTACACGCAAATATAAATAAATTACTTACCATTCTCGCACATTGAATAAATAATGTGCCTAATGAAGCCCTGTCCAAAATCCTCCACTTCACATGTTTTGTTCCCTTCTATTCCTGGACACTTCCGTTTTGGAGTCTGAGCTGTATCAGGGTCTTGCTTCCAATATCTGTAAAATTAAATTCAGCATTATCCAAAACAATTTCACCTGACATTTTTATTATAATTTTACTTACTTTTGAACAATGTGTTTTCAGCCTCAATGCATAGGCAGTTTTGTCAATAACTAGTTTCTATATTGCCTCGCTTCATCAGCTCTTCCATAAATCTTGCAATAAAAAAGATGTCTTCTTGGCGCTGATGCTGCGTCACTTCTCTCTTCTGTGATGGACTCATTGCTAAAGTTGCTTAAAACTATTAATATTTATCATAAACTACATTAAATATTATTACAAATATAAATATCTACTATAAGATATAAAGTAATTAAAATGCACGTAATTACAAATTAAATATTTTTAAATAGCTATTATTAATGCTATTAAATTGTTAATTTAACTTATTATATTAATGTTACATCTAATATTTCAATGAATTAAATATAATATAAATATTGAATAAATAATGGAAATTCTCTGAAATATGTGGAGTGAAATCACTCACGTCTACTCTCCCCTGTGTCGACGATCTCACAAAGATTCAACAGGCTGAGGGAACAGGCTCGGCCAGCGTCCCTCTCTGGGGTGCCAGGCAAAAAACACACAAAAGTCATAAACATGCCACTGACCTTGAAACTCGGGCAAAAGGCTCGCCTGGAGCCCGCCAACAAAAGAGAAGCCCTGTTAGCTGCACCTCTATTTTCTGCAGTTAACTCTCCAAATTGTAACTCAACACAGTATGCGTAAATTATTAATTTTTAAAAATAGTAACCTTGAATATAGTTTCAGAATTCTTCAAAAACATTTTATCACTATAATAAAAAATTTTTCATTGAACTTTCTCCTTTGTCGGAATGACAATACATTAGGTTGTGCCACAGTGCCAAGATATGTTAGCCAATGTTCGTAAAATGAAATAGAATCATTTCTGCATGTTAATCACTGGGCCACGCCTCCAGGCATGATCCATGTGGTATGGCATCAGTGGCTGTCAAAAATACCGATCACATGACTGAATGCTCTATAAGGGCAAGTCACTATTTAGTTAGCAATGCAGAAAAACCCAATCTGCAGTTTGTTTACCATAGCAAATGTTATCGTTAATGTTACCATAGCAAAGAATATATCTAGTTATTCAAATGTTGCTAATCTCGCGCTTTTTTAAATTTTATTTTTATTTATTTATTACCTTTAACTTTTAATTTTTACTCATTTATGAATTACTTATAGTTAAAATGAAGGGATTCCGAGATTTTGGAACTCAAAAAAACGTTTGCAGATGATCTCCCCCATACGTGACATACAGTTTTTCGTTCTTTTTTTTAAATAAATATATCTAAATCTAAATCCTGACACCCATGTGAGGTGTCCCCTTGTTGCCCTTCGCAAGGAAGAGTCAATGCCTTGAAACTCTCATAGACTGTATAGATCCCCCCCCCTCAGAGAAGACGATAGACGTAAGAAGCCATGTTTCCTTCTAATGGCATGTGCCGATGAAGAAAAACGTGCCTGCAGTCAGTCAAGCCATAGAGAACTTATTCTGTAAGCTCCAAGCGGTTGTGAATCAAAGAAATTGTTCCATTCTCTTTGCAGCGCGCACCAACGAGCAAATAGAAGGGGGGAAAAACTTAAATATTAAGCAGATTGCATTCCTCCAAGTGGAAGTGATCACTCACCTTATCCTGTCCTATCCTATGTAAGAGAGTAGTGAATCAAGATTATTTTGCCTATGAAAGTGAGGACTCTTTGTTTAAGTCAGGGCGTAACAGAGGTGTTGAGGATGAGGAAGGAGATGGGAGAGAGAGCTTCACTCCTACTCTGATTCTGACGTTAAATCTACATCTCTGACAGAGTGTGGCTTTTATAATCTCCCCCTGCGGCAGTATATGCCTAACCCTCTGTGCTGTTTCAAGTGTCAGATTTTGCCGTACGCAACAACGGTGCATGGCCAAAATCCCTGTTTGCGCAAAGTGGGGCAAAGTCACACACATTCCAGATCCCTGTGCATCACCACTATGCTGTGTTAGTATTGAAGGGGACCAGTTCCAACGCATTTCGGACTCCTTCAGATCTAACAGGTTCCTTACCTTTAGGGAGAGGGAGATTCAAAAGATCCGAGATGCGGAAGTGCCCTTTTTTTAGGCAAAACGTCAATACCTGACAAAGAACTCAACATATCTCGTTCGTTCGTTCGTTCATTCTCTAGTGCTCTGATCAAGATGGTGAAAGCAACAATGAGTTGCCAGACTTCACCTGCTACTCCCCTAGTTTTCATTTCCATTGTCAGGTGTCTCCTGTGGTCTCTCCTAAGAAGACATCACCTCTGCAAGGTGGGAAAATGATAATTATCTCCAAATACAAAACAATTGCCCAAGAAAGCTACTCAGGCGAAGTTGAATCAAGAATCCACTTCTCAGCTTCGCATAATGGTTGATGTCGGTCAGCTCGCTGGCTCCAACACGCTTCACAATGATTGATTTTACAAGCTCTGTCCACCTACCCTGACTTGGTCTGAGTGAATCTTAAACTTGTCGAGCAGTTCTCAGGAGGTGTCTGCCATAAGCTAGGATGGACACTCGCCCCTTGGGGCACCGGAGGCGGAAATGGAAAATGGGAAAGAAGCCCTCTTAAACTCTTAACTACGACTATATTTTCTCCAACCGAACGAACTAACCCTCTTGCCCTGATATCTTTTTTACAGGAGACACATCTTGCTTCACCACACCTCCTATCCTTTCATGGTTATACCCATACAAGGTTGATGTCCATGACGGCCTCCTTCTCTTACCGGAGCTATGAGGTTGGTTTATGACTCGCTGCTTTCTGCAGAGGATCCTATTCAGACCGTGTGGGCAGGGGTACCTCCCATCCCTCACATTCACAGAGTGTAACATCTTATATCCCAAACATGTCAGTCGATGACTTACTACTCCTATTAAACCAACTGCCCACACATTTCTTTATTGTTGGTGATGTAAACGTCCACAGCCCTCTTTGTTGTTGTTGTTGTTTTTCTTTATTTGTCAAAGGGGTGTTGTTTTGGAATATGTTATCAACATCACAAATCTAGAGATTCTCGATACTGATGAACCAACACATTTCGCCATAGCTATGGATTCGAGCAGGGCTATTGACGTAGCCCTTTGCAGTCCTTCACTCGTTACTGCTTTGCAGTAGACCATATCCCCACTATTGTCCACATCGATCAACTACATCGTGGGTTTGCTTGCCCCCACCTTGATGGATTGTGCAACGTGCTGATTGTCAGCATTCTAAACTAATGTTGACCTGTCAGTATCCCTTTGATGATGTGGATGAAATTGCTTCACCTTTCATTAACGGTATACTCTTTGCTGCTTCTGTCCCTTTTCCTAAACCAACCGGTAACCTTGATACACTTTTATCCCGTGGTGGAATGTGAACTGTTCTGGAGCTGTCAAGGCTCTTAAAAAATCACTGGCAAAACTCGAGCATTATCATACTGTTGATAACCTCATCAAATATAAAACTTGCAGAGCGAAGGCGACGAGAACAATTTTAACAATGATGCCAGGTCTCTTTAAAAATTGGAGAGATGATCACTTTTGAGAAGTTACACTCTGCTCTCACAGTTATAAAAATAATTGCCCCAGATTCTGATGGAATACAAAACCAAGTGCTACAGCATCTTTGTGTGGCTCACATCCCTCCTCTAAGTTTTTCGAAAACTCAGAAGCTTAGTGTGAAAAAGAACTTTGAATTTCACATTTACAGTAACACTTAAACGACATTTTCTTAAAAACTGCTCCAAATTTTTCAATGAAAATTGACATATAGTACGAAGATTTCTTTTCTGTAATATTCTTAAAGTAACATTTCGGTTCAACCATTAAGAAACCGAAAAATTGAGATTTATTTGTTAATGTAGTTTGGGTGGCTTTTTTTTTGTTACAATAAATTCCCTTCCCTAGTGGTAACTTGTGACACAATTTCAAACACAATATTCACCCTGATATTTAGGAATTACATGATGATCAAAATTTTAGTTATCAACAAAAAAGCCAAATTCTATCTGTGATTGACAAGATTTCTCTGTTGATTATTTACAAATAATTGAAAAGTCAAGACAACATAGTTTTTTATTGTATTAGTTGAATTAATCAGTTTACATATAGTTTTTCCAGTATCTATTCCATTTTTTATTGACCATTAATAATCATCTCTAGAGATGGTTTATTAGAGAAACTGTCTCCAGTGCATTTGAAGGAAGAAACGGGTGAATTTATATGAATGTCATCAGCATATTTTGTAATAGAAGAATTTTTCTCTTAAGGTGTCTGTTTAAGACCAGAGGGCCCAAAATGGAATCTTGTTGGAACATCGGAGGTTAAAATTCACAGACAGAAGTGATCCGTTTTACCCTGAGATTATAAAAATATAGCTTGAGTTTTCTCTTCAATGTCCAGCAAATTTATACAACTTGGGCAAATGTGATTCGTATCAGTCAAACAGGAACAGGGAAAGCTTAGGCTGATAAGACCTGATCTGAAAACAGCAGCCGTGGTACTATTTATCTACTGTCTTTTTTTCACTTCAGTCTTATCCAATTAAAATATATCCAATATTAATAATGTAGACTTATCTATGGTAACCAACAGTTAATGAGTAATGTCAGAAAAATGCATATAAATCATAGGCTTAATATTCACAGATTTAAGTACCACTGTTCTGTAGGATTGAAGAATGTCTACAGGACCTGAGAAATTAATTCCTTTGCTTCAGGTGCGACAATTGAAGGAAGCTGTTCCATTTGCTGTGTGTGGTGCTAATACTTTATTGGAAGTTCGAGGTCGTAAAGTTCGTGGTCGCTTGTACCCATGGGGTGTTGTAGAAGTTGAGAATCCAGATCACTGTGATTTTATAAAATTACGCACAATGCTGATGTAAGTATATGTGCTCATGAATGTCATTATATTTTGTTTTCTAGTGCTCAGTAAGCATGTATCTGGTAAACCTATTATTCATGAATTAGGCAAATGTATTTGTACAAAAAACACATTCTGGATCAAAAGTACCAGTTTTAATAGTTCCACCTTGGTACTCTGACTTGTGTAATGAGTTTCTAATGCATACACATTGTTATGAGGTGTATTTAAAATTTATTTAATTAGTGGAACCACGATAACTTGCATTGCTTAAAATCCAATATTATGATAGAAAATCATTGATAACACCTTGATAATCTGTGTAGATAATTGGAAAAATATGTGTGTGTGTGTGTAGTGTGGACGGTTTCATGGGATGTGGCAACCACCATAACGCCACCGTCCTATATGTTGTTGAACACCCACAGACAGCGAGTAGGCAGTGCGCGGCGGAGCAGAGGCTTTTAAACGCGCGGCTGGTATCTTCCTTGGCCCTACGTATGAAGGTCGCGAACTAGCGAGCAACGTTTTCTCGTTGAGGTTGAGAAGGGGAAGCAACCCCCCTACTGCAATTTCTCCCAGGCGTCGGGCGATATATACGCGAACCCGCAAGCGGGAGCTTTTGCCTATCCACTTCCCGAGTAAGCAGCTCTTCTCTTTGCCACGCTCGCCGAACTAGCAGATGTTTTGCCACCGCTCGCCGAGCAGCTGTTCTGTTATCATTCAGCTTAGATGATGTCGCCGTGCAACGAACTACTAGATAGGACATTCGGCGTCGAACAGACGTTCTAGTCAGTCCATCGGGAGATAGTGCAGATTCGTAAGTATTCCTCTCATTAACGACACGGGAAGTAAAGTACCCGTTGTGAGAGAAGCATTGAAAGCTCTGGTTTAGCAAAGTAGATGTAGCAACGAGCAGGAACTTGCACGAGTATTCGGTGAAGTGCAAGGTCATTTTCGCAACGTTGGGCGTGGTCAGAGGCCGCGGTAGCAGACGAGGAGGAAGAGAGGCCGAGGATCCAGGCGCACGAGGAGAAGACGGAACGACTAGGAAGAGGACGCAAGAAGACAACGTAGACGGCAGAGCGAATCCCGTCTCTTTACGACGCAGAAGCTGGGACGAGAGGACGTCGACGCAGAGACCCGCGCACGACCCTCAAGCCAAAAGTGGAGTTCACGAGGTAACTGTTAGTCGCGGAAAATAGGTCAAGTTCACGTCGGCAGGAAAACTAGTATAGGAAGAGTGTTAAGAATATGTAGGACCGGGTGGCAACAATTGCAGTATCATAGTAGGAGACATTTGATGCACTATTGCCTGCATAAAATATTCTAAAATATTCTTATTTTCAGCCACAGTTAAAGTAAAATGAGAGTGGTGCACTTGCACACATTCTTTTCTTTGCTTTGAGCAGGAGATTGTAAATTGAAAAATTTGTGGTTCCGTGTGCAATGTTAAAAGATAGCATAGATTTAGATATATGTAGTTTTTCCAAGGGAATTCCAGTGGAGATTAGGCAATCATTTCAGAGTCTCAATTTTGGTGTAAATATATTGTGCTTACTCATTTGTGTGTGTGTTGTAAAGACGAAGTGAGTTAAAAGCAATTAAACCCCTGTTCAACTATTGTTTTATTTTTTGTGTCGAGGTTCAGACCTTTCTCGCACCCAAGATCCTGGCGTCCCGAGAATTTTAAGCTCGCTTCTGAGCAAATCTTGATAACCCGCTACTGCCTCAACGGTGCGCGTTCAAGGTGGTAAGTTTAGAATGGAAGACGGTTAGTGTGTGGTGTGTGTGTGGTGGGTGGTGGGGGGGTGTGTTGGGGGTGGGGGGTGGGTGTGGGTGGGTGCGTGGGTGTGCGCGCGCGTGTATATATTTCCAATTATCTACACAGATTATCGAGGTTTTTCTATCATATCAAATTCATGCAAATATATATATATTTTTTTCTCTTAAAGTTTAATAGAGAAAATAGTAATTTGCTTAGTAATCTGCCTTATAGTATATCAGCCCAGTGTTAAAGATCAGTTAAAAATATTTTGTATTACATACTTTTCTGCTCGTACAGTCTATGTTTTAGCAAGGACAGAGACTCTGTCTGGAGAGCACTTTGTTTGAAACTGTTTAAATTGAGTAGGCCATTCGCCGAGACTGCCTCAATCGACATGTTTTATTATTTTGACTTTTTCTTATAAACTTCATTTTCAGTAACTTAGTTTAATATATTTCTTTGCAATCCACTTTTATTTACATTAATTACTTACTATTTTTAATGAAACTTCTGACGCTTAAAAACAATTATCATTAAATCTTGTTTGTTTTTAATTTCCAGTACTCACATGCAAGATTTACAAGAAGTTACCCAAGAAGTGCACTATGAAAACTACCGTTCAGAACGTCTTGCCAAAGGTGCTCCAGTGCCAAAACGTGCCACGTATGTAATTCCGAAACAGTCATTTGTTGGAGTTGCTTGTTAGATGAAACATTGATAAATTCTTAGACCTGGGCATACTTTCTTTGTTTAAACCATAAACTCTTATTTCAAAGTTGTGCTCTGCAAAATTGTTTTGTGTTTCAGAGAAGTAAACTTACACAATCTTCATTAGTTTCAACATTTAAATTTAGGATTTGTGGTTGTGTTACTCCATGAAATAATGATTTGTAGAACGTTAATTAACTAAATCTACCATGTTAAATATAAATACAAATGTTTGTGAGTTCCATCAAGGGGAATTATTTTTTACTAATCTTTCTCAGGTGTTTGAACTTTTAATCCCACATCCACATCCCACTCAGAAATTGATGACCACCTCTCGCTCTGAAGAAGTTACTGCTTTGGTCCTTTTCAACACCTGAACTTTGAAAATGAAAATTATATTGGGTGGGCCCAAAATCACTATTCATGATCCTTCTACTCTGTAATCAAGAAAGTTTTATTGTTTTGAAAGAAAATTTCAAAATTATTCAATGAGAATAAAATTGCGTTTCTTGATGATTTTTTTTAGAATTGCTTTGAAGGTCCTTTAAGTTTTTAGGCAGACATTCATTTACATAATACATGTTTATTAACATCATACATTTTTAAACCAATGTTTTAAAGGTCATTGGCCTTCATCTTCAGGGTCTAATAAATATATTTGTTTCAATTATATTTGTGTATATAATATGTTTTGAATGAAACCCTTCCTTTAAATTCAACAGTACTTTCATCTATCGAAATTTGTCCGATTGAAGTATAATACCTTTAAAATTTTGTTTCCTAACAGTACATTACCTTTTTCATCTTCCATAAGTTTCTTGACACAGCATTTTCTGACAAGTTATTCTCTGGAATGTCAACATGCAGATTCCAGAAAATTTAAAGAAATCTCTCTCTACTAAAAACATCCCCCAAAAATGGCTGATAGTCTAACCAACCTGTACTAAAGTAGTCTTGTATATCTTGTTTTTCATTTAAACCCATGTTCAATAAAACACCTAAAATGCTTTAAATTCTGAATTGGTGAGAGATGCCAATTTGACCATATACTGTGATTTGTAAAAGGCATATTCTCTTTACTTTCTTGTCACCCTACCAGTTTGTTTCATTTACAACACCTTCGATCACATCATCAGAAAAAAATAGTGGAAAAAATTTTAATGGTGTTTTAGGGTGATTAAATCTCGGTGGTCTATACCCTGGTTTCAAAAGAAATTGAATTTAATAAAACTTGTGGACTCTATCACTCCAAGCAGTCCACATATCATTACCAAGTACAATTATGTTGCTGTCCTCACCCCCATCTGCATCAGTCACTCGGTGCTTTGTCTCACGGAGCTTTGTCTAGCTCCTGAAACATTTTTTATTTATCTCTTCTTCGCCTGTGATGAAATCTTGGCCCGAAATAAAATCTTTTTGATCAGATAGTGATGGCATTGTCTAAGAAAGTTCATCTATTTACGGCTCCAAGTGCAGTCACATTGTTTAGAATAATTAATGGGAAACGTCTGTCATCTCTGAGATGGCCTCCAACCTCCAAACTCCTCAACCTGCGTCCTCCAACCAACCTCTGAGCTGGAAACCATCTTCGGCATGTCATCTCACAGATGCCCTCCAACCTGTGGGATGTTTGTTACCAACGACACCGACCGTAAAGGGTTTAACCTTAATAATCATCATAATCACTCGATTATGATTGATTTCTTGCAGTTGAAAAGGTTGTTTATAATGCCGGTACACTAAAAATAATTGTATGGTTTACTAATTTGTTGCTGTGTGTTTACGGACATGAAACAAAACACGTAATGGTATTGTTAATACCTTTGCGGGCCTTTCTGATTCTTTATATCCGCGCATTTCTTTTGTCCACTCTAATACCAATTCAAAAAATACATTTAAAAAAATTGATTTATTGAATTTAAGTTACAAGAAAAGACTATAAAGAAAATACAAAGAAGTAAAATAACTTGTTATAAACCTTATCTTGCTTAACTGATATGCAGTATCATGTTATGTAATAACAATTACTAAGGGTCAAGAAAGTATGTGCTGTTGATAGCACCACTAGTTGTTTATTTTGGTGCTGCCATGTGGTGGTGACTTAAATTAGGGTCAGTTCATTTACCTCAAAGTGGTATGCTATGTATTGATGACACTTGAGATAAAGTAACTACAATGTTATGTATAAAAGCCCAGTCTCAATTAAAACTATCTCTATTAGTTCTTTGAAAAGTTACTCTCTGAAAATCAAAATTCGTTTATTTGCATTCGATAGTTTTGCTTGCAAATATTACACAAATTAAAACATATTAGATAGATAAATAACACTTATCAAGTATTTGTAGGTCAGAATTTACTCAATCCATTTTAGTTAAGAAAACTACAACAATCAAGCACTGGGCAATTTACAAAATAGAAAATATCTATGAATGCGAAAAATGGTGCATGGCATAAAACAAAAATGGCTGACATTGATTTTTGTAAACCACGTATAATAGAAGCTTTTTAGAAATTGTTTTGGACAACTACGACATAAGGAAATTCAGAGTGTGATATTTTGTTGAGATGATCGAGCAACCAGCGCTGGATCACTTAAAATGGATTGACTGTATATTATATTTCAATAATCAGGTATCATTTTCTTTCAGAGCTGCATCTGAAGACAAAACTGGAGAAAAAGATCGTATACTGCAAGAGAAAGAAGCTGAATTACGGCGCATGCAAGAAATGTTGGCCAAAATGCAAGCTCAGATGCAGCAGCAGCAACCTTAGGTGATACAAAAAAATATAAATTGATGATTTGCATTATTGTATCTTAATCTGAGTTTGTAAACTTTGTTTCTTGAACTATAATTATTTGCCTTTTCCCTGTAATGTAAATGGCAAATTGTGAGAAATGGCAACATATCTTCGAGAACTAGTTTTTATAATACATACATATTTGTTCCTTGAAAGTATCTCTCCCTTTAATGCAATATTTATGGCATTACCTTGAACAAATTTCTTGGTATATTTTGACTCATGTCGTAGTATTGTTAAGGGATAAAAATAGTTTTTCACTGAGAAATGCATTAATTTAAAAATACAATTTGACTCATTAATCCCATAATGAGAAGTTAATCTCTTATCGTTAGGAGGCGGATTTTAATGAAATGTCATTGTTTTTCTTTTCACTTTAGAACAATGCATTTTAGTATAGACATCATGTTATGATAAAAGGAAATGACCTTTTATTTTATCTTATTTTATTTTATTTTTTTCCCATTTTTTGTTGATTTCAATTAATAACTAATTTTTTATCTTCTTCCATAATTTTTAATGCATTTGTTGCCGATTTCATGGATTTTAATATAATTTTAATGGTTCTTGCTTCAAATAATATTTACAAGATGCAACAAATTCTGCCCATAGAATTCCTGACTAGCCTATTCGATTTCTTCGCTCAGAAATTGTAATGACAGCTATTGTCAGAATGTCTTAAGGTTCTTGTGGGGTCTATCCACACCATTCAGCCAATTTGCCAATAACTAAAGACAGATATTTCCTGGTAAAAACAGTATGGACCAAAAGTTTGTTACCTGAGTTCACTTGAACGAAAGAAAGAAGCCTCAATAACATCAGTAACATATCTTACAGCTATAGTTGTTCATATGAAATGGTTTTGATCAAATTTTTTCCGTCATTTTTCTTTGCTTTTAGAGCATTTTATTGATCATTTTTTGATATTGTAGGTCATCAAAATCCGCCTCCTACTTATCATTAAAAGTTATGTGTGAGAAGATATAAATTTTAAAATATATGAAAACTTCAAATGTACTGTCTATGCAATATTAACTACTTAAAAACAATTTGGGATAAAGGGAGAGTTGCATGATTCGTGTTTTCAAACTCTAATGAGTGAGATTATACATGCCACTACTTGAAGCCAAGTAACAATTTGAGAAATGATCTTGTAAGAAAGTAGAATTGTATGTTAATATTTTAAAATTTCTTTGTGAAGGCATCATTGTACTTATGGTGTATAGATTTCATGGGTGGTATCCACGGATGACAAATTGATGAGCTTGTTAATTTTTGCACAGAATTGAAACCAGCTTGTCATTAATTCCTGAAGATGGAAATTAAACAAGTAATTTTCAATGCTAATCTGACAATTGGTATATTTTGATGGCTATAGATTTCTTGGAGAAATAGTTGCCAAAAAATGTGCGAGTGATTGGTCATCAAGTTCATATTGTATGATAAAACATTGTTTACTTGTCTGTTCAGTTTTTATGGCCTTTAGATTTGACAAATACTTTGAGAAACAGTTATGACGTGAAAATTTATGGTTTAATGTTTTCTGGTATGTGTTGAATTATATCTGATCTGGAAAATTAATTTAATTGTGGTATTTAACTGCAAATTTAAAGAACATATTTATAGAGACCAAGAAGGATCTGCTTTTCGACAGCTACTGCTTGGTTTCTGCAGGAAATGTAACAGCAGCATTATTTCCCAACTTCAAAAAAACTGGTCTGTTGCTTTCGTACATAGAGTAACTTCTCGATATCGTTAGACCTTATTTTTAAGTCATCATCGCCTATTTTTCAGAGCTGGGAGAATTAAAAAGTTTCTGGTTGTATTGGATCATTATCATCTTAATACAATTGGTATTTTATTTTGCTTCAATTACGAGATTATTCCAGTATTTTGAATGGAGCTTAGGTGTTTCATTTGTAGGTTGAGTTCAGATGTTGGGTGGTTAAATAGTAATTTTTGGCTATTCCTATATCCAACCAACCTGTTACCATTCTCTACTTGCATTTGATTTCGAAGATTCTATTTCAAAAAATTATCAATATAATGACAATTTGGAAATACCACATTATATAGGGACAAAATTAATCAATTAGGCAAGCTTTCTGGAAAATACTTTATAAAAAAATACCCATTTTTGATTTAGTGAAAATGCATAGTTTCGAGTAAAACTAAATAATTCTTGCTCCCCCCCCCCTTTTTTTTTTTCTTCTTCTTCTTCTTTTTCTCTCTCTCTTCCTTCTTCTTCTTCTTCTTCTTCTTCTCCTTCTTCTTCCAAGCACTTGTTTATTCTTATTAATTTTGCATTCATATGTATGTATATAATACAAAAATGTGAGTAAAGTTCATGTTAACGCTTCAGTTTTAATTATAAACTAGTCCGAAAATTTTTTTTCAATTGAGAGTAGTTCTTTGTGAATGAATAATTGTTGCCAATAATATTCGCATTGTAAGGGACTACATTTTCCAATCTTTCAATTAACATAGAATTATAATTAATTGTGAAAGTAATTTCTTTTGTCTGCAGATTTTTAACTCGGCTTCTTATGTTCATATGCATTCTTGGTAATTAGTAATTTGGATTATAAAATATTTAAGAGAATTTTAATACTTTTTCTTATCTGTACATAAAAACTGTAAAATAATTATATAAATGAAAGCTGGGACCTTGTGCAAACTATGGAACATTTTCAGTAGATTTTGATTTTTATATCCAGAGTTCATTTCTTCAACTCTATTTGGTTAATGAAAAAGACATGTGAAAAATATGTGTTATCATGGAAACACACGTTCTTACGTAAGAAATGAGTACATTTCAACACATTTTGTGATATTCAGTCATGATTGTATTTGTAGGTAAAGAAAGGATAAAGTATTTGCATTTTTTTTTACAGCCTCCAAACATTTGTTATCCAGGGAATCTCATTTTTATAATCTAGTCTTGATTTTTTTTTTTTTTTTTAAGAATGGCCAGGAGCAATCCTTCAGTTTTTTGGGGAAAGATTGATTTCTCTGTTATATGTATTTTATAAATGTAGTTCTGTTCATTAACATACATTTTCTTGGTATATATGATTCTGCTGATATCTTGATTGAAAGAAAGAAAATAGGTTTGGAACTAAGCAAACATTAATCACAAATTTTGTAGACAATTTAATTTACATTTGTTTTATGCTTTTTTGCTTAAATTTTTCCTTCCTTGAAACAAAGTGACACAATATTCTAATAAAATATGAGCTGGACAAACAACAAAAGAACACACCTAACCATGTGAAGACTTCACGACTATTCTACAGTGCGACATGAATGCTCATGGTACTTGAAATATTGACAAATGTATCACTCCATGCAGGAAAGCTCTTACATAATGTAAGATCTTTATTTCAATAGTTTGCATTTATGGTCAGTATTAAATATCCTGTTAATTTGAGTGAGTGACCTTGTCAACAATTTGTACAAATTTTTAGTTGTGAGTGTACAATTTTATAATGAAAATTTGCCTTGTGTATGTTATTTAATACATTTATCTGAATGAAAAAATTAATATAACTGGCTTTTGTGTGTCATGAGATTTGAAAATTATTGTATGACTTTATGTGAAATGTTTGCATTGTGAACAACTGCTTTTCTCATGATAAAGGAGGGTATGTTGTATTATGAATCTCGTGTAAGTATATATGGTCAACTATTTCAATTATAAAATATTTTTAAGATTTCATGAATTGTGAATCATGTTCAAAATACTGTCCCTGGGAGTCTTTCTGGACAAGTTGTTGTATTCTTGTCAATATTTACTATTCCTTTTTATTCTACTGAATTGTTCATTGTAAGTCTGTATTATTTTATTCATTTTAATATTATATTGTAAGATGTGCATGAGTTTTATTTCATGAATTGCTATTTAAAATTTTGTTTGTATGCTAAACATTCATATATTATTTAACTTTTTTTAATTTCCAGTGAAGGAAGTTGAAAGTGGAACAGAATAAAAATGAAAAATAATACCTCAGAACCATTTATCACTTTCTTTTAATTAAGTAGTTGTCTCTACATTTAAATTTTAGTCTTATAATATGTTTCCAACTTCCTGTTAGATGAGGATAATTGTATGAATCTCCCTTATTTCTCTCTAAATGTTTTGTTTGTATTCATATTCATAGTTTTGTTTGTAGACATGCAAACCAGTGTAGGAATGTATCATGCTGACCAAATAATTTTTACGATAATGTTAATAAAATATTTTTGATTGCTCAGATCAATTATTCTGATATGTCAAATGTATTGCTATAAATATGACTAAGTAGTCATGAACATTTTTCACTATAATAAACAACAGTTTTTTAGTGTGAATTTTATGCTGAACAAAAGTTAATTTGTTGCCAAGGTAAGACATATTTTTAGAACACACCAATGGCCGGGTTTTTGAAATAGATAATTATGTAAAGGTAGAAGGAAAATTGACATTTACCATTATGTCAAATTTATTCCATTAGAGACATTGTGAACCATTGTGAAAGATTGAGGAGGGGGGGGGGACAATTGAATCTATACAGGTCTCTTCAGTCATTATTATTAATTTAGTTTAGTGAAGGAAGTAGTGACTACTAGTGAATGTTAATTACTGCCAACTCACTCAGTAGTGATCTTTGAAGATTAGAAAAAATCTTATTTTTATCAGTTGTAGGGTATGATTGTGTATGTCAGCGAACATGTTTTAGTTGTAACTTACTGAATTGTGAAACGAGTGCAAACATGGAAACACATTTTTTTATTAACTTTGAGTGGTATTTGCATTTGAGACAGACTAAAAAGTGGTGGTAGTGTGATGAAGATGTTGATCGGCTAATCTGCTCTGTCTTTTCTCAAGTTTGTTTAAATATTATTTCTATGGTTTTATCACTTAGTTTTGTGTGTATGTTGATGATGTTGAGTTGTCCTTCCCAGAATTTTGTTCTTCTATTGTTTTATTTATTTTGACATGCATAGTATGACATTTTTCTATACAAATATTGGAACTGAATAGCATCATTAATAGTTATTTATTGTATAAGATAATAAAGTATCTTTGTAAATAAGTCAGGCAATAAAGAGGGCCAGTAGCAACATGTTATCAATTAAGAAGTCTCCTAACCTGATGAATACTTTTTTTGTTTCATTTGAAGGTAAGTGAATTACTGCAATTTTGCACCATTTGTATACTACCACCACTTTTCAGCCCAGTTTTAGTAACCAATTAAAATATGTGGTCAGGTATTTTACTCTAAAAATATACCACCTTGTGTCGTTCTTAAACACAATAACAAACAACTGTATGAAACGTATATGAATGCAACTCAAAGTTCAGGTCAGCATTTCATTGGATTAAAAAAACAGAAAGGAGCGAAGTATTTGTTGTAGTGTTGTAATTAATCATTCATGAACTCGGTGCTCTTCTTCGATTGAAGCAAGTAGACTTTCTTTTTTAAATTAATTAATAGGAAGGTATATTATTCATTGCTGTTTACTGCTGAAAATAATGACATTATGAAAATATAATTTATACTATATTTTTCAAACCGTTTCTGCTCTTTTGTCATCTTTAAATGTGTTTCTTCTTTTTTATATGTTTTCAAAAGTATAGGATTGAGTGTATCAATTTATAATGTAAGTACAGATGACTTAATAAATGTATTTTGTATTCAGAATAAATATGTTTGTAAGTATTGGTATTTCTTTTATTCTCGTATGGATACGTAGGATACACAGTGAGTGAATATTGAAAAACTACTTACTATTGGGCTTCTTTAAACCAAATGATCATTCTAAATTCCTTCCACAGCATTTTAATGCTATTTACATTTTTTTTTCTTCTAGTTTTCCTTGCATTGCATTTCTTGGGTGTATTAAATTTTACCCATTAGGACTGTAGTATTGAAACCCACAATAAAACCTTTTCCACCCCTCTTTCGTGCTTCTTAAACCAATATTTATTCCCCCACCATTTTTTTAATTAATAAATATTTATACATCACTACAATATTCATTTTCTTATATACAGTGGCAATTATTGAAACTTACACTCAACTATTGCTGGCCTGATAGGTGCAATTATTTGGGGCACCTAAGAACAATTTTTTGTCTTACTCAATACAGGTTAAAGGCCCCTTCTGACAGCAATTTGTTTATTATCGTAAATTGACTAGTGTATAGTTTAAATTACATATTTGACTATGAGAAATCACCAGAATACATCAGAAATGATTCCCTTTTGGCGATTCGGTTCAGGTGTGCTGATGTTAATTTTCAAAAGCAAAAGTTCATCTGTGCGAGCAGATACGTGCAACTTGAAGAAAAGAAATGGAGACGTTCGAGTTTGCATTCCAAGTTGTATTGAATTCAAAAATTTTGATTGTTGACAAGAACGGGATTTGATCAAAGCAGCTCGCAAGGATCTAAAGTTTTCAGACAACTTTGACAAAGTAAAATCCGATACAGTAGTGTTGGCTGTATCTTGGGAGTGTAAAAGTTGAATTTTCCGAGAAACGTAAAAACAAAATTTACAAAAAAACAAAGAAATGTTGAAGATGCGAAGATCATATTAGGGCCTCATATAAAAGTTTATACCAAACACAAATAGTGCACCTCAAGTAATAATAAGATCCTTTAACAAGTTTAACCTATGGTGGTGTAAAACGTTTAGTGTATTTGTGTTTCCTGAGGGTGTAACAGATTGCCGGCGACTTCTCCGCTGAGAAAGGCGTGGTTTTGTTCCGCCCACTTCAGCGTTAGGTTCATCTGATTTTGAAGTATATTCAATTTGTGGTGTAGGTTTATTCCTCTTGCTAAGACAGCTATGTCATCAGCGTAAAGGAAAGGCCGTATTCGTGGTATACGTGGGATGTCATTGACAGTAGCGGAGAGAGAACGGAGCCCGGAGCACCATGTCGAGATATATGACGTACTTCCTGTGTAAGTAACAGATCAGGGGAAATCTGCTGAGCCATGCAAAGTGCTTGTAGTGATGCGGAGTGGTCCGGTCTGAAGGCAAACTGTTCATCTCAGATGAGGTTTCGCGAGAGAGCAGTTGGCAGAATTTGAGCGAGTAGCAGCCTCAAATACCTTTCCCATAACAGGAAGAAGACTGATAGGCCGGTGGCTCGCCGCGATCGTGAGATCCTTACCGGGTTTCGGAAGCATAGAAATACTTGCGTATTTCCAATTTTCCGGAAAGTACCGCTGTATAATGCAGCTATTGTAGATTCGCGTCAGCTCCGTGTTTAAAACCGGAAGGGCCTCCTTAAGAATGGGAGGGCCTATTCGGTCCCCGGAGCCTTGTGACTACGGAAGCATTTAATTGTAGTCGAAACTTCTTCCACTGTACAATTTGTAAGTGTGCTGGCGCTGTCTTCCGTTTCCTCTTCATCTACCGCCTGTGTAGTGTTGTTAACAAACCTCTTTTCAAGCATGTCGGCGAAGAATTCCGCCTTTGCCTGATCTGAGAAGAGGTATGTTGGTTTACCCTCCGTGCTGTCGTGGCCACGTATGGCGGTTGCGGTTTTAGGTACTGACCTGAGCGCTTTTTGGAGTTTGAAAAGGCCGTTACGGGAGTGATCAGAACCGATCTCTCTCATACGTTTTTCCCACTTCTCTGCGTAGTGGTTTACGAGCGCCGTTTTGAGGCGTTTTTCGCATTCCTTCAGCTGTTTTCTAAGCGCAGGACACCTAAACTGCTGCGATAGTCGCCTAGCTTTGCTTTTTTCATGCAGATGCTCTTCGACATCTGGAGGAAGCGTACGTGAACCCTCTTCGGGCGGGCGCTAGAAAACAGGTGTCGCCTTTCTGTGGGCTGTTTGTATGTGTTTTGTAAGTGTGTGTAAGTTTTCTTCTGTATATTCTGGTGAATCCATTGTCTGCGTGGTTTGTGCTTGTGTGTGTAGAGCTGTGAGTTGTTTGCGAAACTCATCCCTGTCAGTGGGTTGTGGGACCCATTGCCTAGGGCCGCAGAAGGCGCGGATGCTACCTACTGCGTGGTTCTACACGTGGGTTTTTATATCTTGGAGCGCGAGGCCTTGTCTTCGTGATGGAATATCTCACGGTATTTCGTGTCTTTCTCGGTCGTGCCGCTCGATGTCGCATGGTCGCCAGCACTGCTCGATACGGTCGCGACCATCCACATCTAGCAGCACGACTGACAAAGACATATACTCTCTGGACAAAGACGCGAAGTACCGTGAGATATCCGATCGTGAAGACAAGGCCTCGCGCGCCAAGAAATAAAAAAAAACAAGTATAGTGTATATTTTTCATCCCCAGCCTCCACTTATCCTGAAGAGACGGGAATTTATTCAAATAATTGGATACATTGAGCTGCAGCCGATTAGGCTTTTCCAGCGGGGGTCGGATTAACTTAAATAAACTATCTATTACTATCTTAAAACTATTAACAAGGCCACTTGGCCTGCTTAGTATATTTACAGGTAATGATTTTATTAATACTTAAAACTTCTTTACATTGTTCTTCGCTTGTCTTTTTTTTTTTTTTTTTCAATTCATGCACACTCTCATCCATTCTTAAACTATATATTGAGACACCCAGATAACCCTTAGGATTATTGATTTTTTTAAATGTAGTATAGTGACGAAAATGTATTCTTCATTGATATGCGGAGAATCAGCCATTAAAATCGCCAGCCATCTATTATAATTTATTACTATATTTATGTGTGTTTATTCAAGAAGGATATAATACGCCATTTTCTGGGTTAATTAGCAGTTAAATATTTAAAAACTAGTGGTGCTACAGAATGGCACAGACTTATCCGTATTGGTTTTCTATTTCTCACATACTCTTTGTTGTATGATAGACAAAAGGGCGCCACCTTGCGAGCGCGCCAGAAACTACCGCAATGACCTGACTGGACAGACAGACTCTGGACGCCGGACACGCGGTAACGAACGTGCGACGCTCATCTGCTATATAATACTGTGCATTCCAAAGTTAACTAATAAACGCCATTCCAATTGTGTATCGTGTGTCGTTATTCATACAACAAACGAAAAACTTCATTCGAAGTCATTTAAAGCACATTAACTCACAAATACAATAGTGTTTACAAATTGCTGGAAATCTATACATTAACGGCGTGAGATCTTTTAATGAAATTACATTTGTGAACTTTTGAAAAAACAAAAAAAATCCCAGAAATGAACTTTACGTTGTATTAAAGAGCGCAATTAGCACAATCCGTTTGAAAAGTTTGCAGAAAAAAAATTGAGCTGTTTTTGAGAAAATGGCGTTAGAGCATTTCTGGAAATGCGGAATTTTGAACTAGTTTTCACAGAAAATGTTGAGTTTTTGAGAAACATTTTGTTACATTATTTAAAGCTTATGTACCTCTAAATATAATGTGAACAAATTGCCGCTAATATAAATATTAACCACACGAGAAACAAGTAATAAAAATTACATTCTTTTAATTTTTGAAAAAAGAAAAGAGGAATATGGCGCCTTTGTCGTCTTAGCACATTCAGCACTATCCCTACTAAAAATTTAAAGAAAACATTTGGAGCCGTTTTGAGAAAATCGTGTTTTGGAATTCTTGAAAACTGCATATATTGCATGCGCTAAAAGTACGAAAATTTTCAAATAATGCACATGACCTTAATAAAAGACCTAATTATCGACAACAAAGTTCATTTGAAGGAAAAATCCCTATATTCAAGATTGTAGTTGTAGGAAGACACCGAAAAATATTCATACTTTTGAAATTTTTGAAAATTTAGAGTTAACCGTGTAAATCGGTAATCCTCAATTACCTTATTCACCCTTAACTAACCCACCCAACGACCCTATTCCACTACTAACGGAAATACTCCACATCAAATCCATAATCTCCGGAATATCACCTAATCCCGAAGGAATCGTTCAATTATACCAATTACTCCAACTCCCTAAAAATCTCTCACCAAGACGGCGTCCCTCACGGTGTTGTTCCATCCCTAACACTTTTTTCAGTTACCACCCACCCACGGTGTCAATGTATTAATGATAATTAATACATTGTATGTATGTATGGCAGTGGCGGCCGGTACGGTTTCTATTGGCAGTACCAGTTAGTTATGTGACATGGATAATAAAACATCGGTGTCCAAAATTATAACAATGATGTTAAAAAACCATCGATGTTTTTAAACATCAACGCGATGTTTTAAAACTGGTTTAGTAATCTCTAAATTGAAATTCGTGAGCAACAAAATTTAATTTTACAATGACGATGGTTATTTAGTTATAATGAAGACTAAACTGAAAACAAACAAAAATCTAGTGGCGCTACAGAATGACACAGACTTTCCCGAAATAGTATAATATTTCCTTTGGTCTCGGCTATCTATTCAGACATGCCAAATACTCTTGGCAGGTGCCATCTACCTGCATCCAAAGTACATTTTTTGAAATTTTCTTAATTTTTCGGTTTCCCGATAATAGAACACAAATATTATTTTAAGAATATTAAAGAACAGTAAAACCTCGTCCTAAATAACAATTTTCTTTGAAACATTTGCAGCCGTTTTTAATAAAATGGCGTTTAAGCACTACTGTAAATTCGAAATTTGAAGCTCTTTTTCACAGAAATTTCTTGAGTTTTCGAAAAATTACATTCGAAGTCATTAGAAAAATTTTATGACATTATTTGAAGCACATGTACCCATAAA